TGCGCGTGTGTGTCTATATATATATATATATTGGAGAATTTGAGATTAAAAAAGGAAGAAAAAGTTGTGAATCACATGTAAAATTATTTTATTGAAAATATGTGTAATTAAAAATAAGTTTTAGCTCCTGCTTGGTGTAGATTAAAATTCAATTAAAATTTTTAGTTAAAGTCAACAATTCATTTTAACCATTTATTTTATGAGATCCACAATTTTTTAACCACTTATTTCGTCAATTTTTATTAAAATATATTAAAAGCATAATTTTATTCCATACCAAACATGGCCTTAGTCTACGAGAGTCAAACATGCACTTAATTTCTTTATTACCTGATCAACTATTTATAATTTTTGAGTCAATATTCTAACCAATTTTTACAATATTGTACTATACATATAAGAAATCGATTTTGTTTTCCTTTCTCAACCCCTATTTGAAAATCATTATTTGGAAAAATAATTCCAAACAATGTTTTAAATAATGGTTTTAGAAGAATGTGTGGTTGAAAGGTAGAAATTTTTTTTGAATTTACGTACAAAATATTTTATTATGTAAATGGCTAATTAAAAATGAATATATATAAAAAGAATTTTCAAATAATAATTATCAAGCATGGACTTGATATTATTTAGTCCCCGTTTGATACTAATTTTTCATTTCAAAAAACTAATTTTTTGATTGTTATTTCACTATTTTAATCATCATTTTTTACTTCTTCACTCACAGATAGAATCCATTTTTCTATCTAATAGTCAAAAAAATCAATTTTCATAATCGACCCTTAATACAGTTAAGTCTAACTTCTCGAAAGTTATAGTTGCTATGTATCCCATGCCATCCAATCCCACATACATGATGTGCCATCTACAATACAACAAGCAAGCAAATCAATCAAGCTGTCAAAGAATTAATCTAATCAACATCAACATCAAGAGAGAAAGAGAGATCGATTTGGACTCATGTCTAATCATATGTTTCTTTTGCAAGATTTTCTTTTGGTTTTGGCCTTGAACGGGGTTCCATGGTCCACAATTTCTCGCCACTGTTCAGTTTCTACTAATGAGACAAAATGTCAGATTGTTGCTTTTCTGGTGGTAAATTTGAGGAATTAGTCATCCATGTCGATTCCAAGATGTACCTATCGAAATTGCCTTTATATTCAAGTTTCATCACCATCCACTATCAAAATTCCACACATTAAACTTATGATAAACGGACGTCCACCTCAACAAAAAAATTTTGAATTTCTTTGGGAGTGATTTTGAGAATTGATTTTTTGATCGATAGGAGAAAAATGGGGTACACCTGTGAAAGAAAAAATCAAATATGACGGTCGAAATAGTGAAATAACGATCAAAAAATCAATTTTTTGGAGGAAAAATCGGTCCCAAACAGGCCCTTAAGAGTTTTTATTGTATTTTATAGCTCAAACTATCATATGATGTGGTTCCAAGTCTACAAAGTACAAATCTTCAATTTTCGATTCTTTTCTCAGCATTGACACGAGAAATAAATATCGTAAAAAATTGGCATAAAACTAGAACAAAACCATAAATAAATTCCAAAGCACATATATAGAATACAAAGTTCACAACATCATGGATTTCCTAATCCAGGTTGCAAATTAGCATTTATAGCAGTAGCCTGATGGTAACAAACCAGTTCAAGATTACAAGAAATCTGATATGATAAGCTTCATATGTAGTTATGCAAAATCCATAAATAAGTTACAATACTGAGGTACCACAATAAATGATATTGTGACATGGATCGACTCCTCGACCGAAGAAGAAGAAGAAAGAACGATCTCAACATGAATAGAACTGGACTTCTTGACCCAAGAAGACGAAAGCTATGATCTCGTATCACCACCATGAATGGCAAGTTAATAACAAGTAAAATCTACACAATTATATATATCTAAACACCATATTCAAAGTAAAATGTCAAAGCTTCTCTGTCGTATATGCTGCTTGTAATCGAAGTTAAGTAATGTATTAACAGTTAAGAGTGGATGAACTCTCGAATCTCGCCCATGAGGCAACGGAAATGGTCGTTATTTGGCAAGAAGTAGAAACCAATCGTCGCCTGATTGAGATAAAGAAGTTTAACTTCCTTACCGGATTCTTTTAGCCCTTCGACATAAGCCAATTGCCAATCCTGAACAAGATCCAGCCCAACCACGACCACGAGGCTCTTTGGAAAGTTAACTCCGTCGAGGCTTATACCCCGAGGGCCGAATATATTGCACGCAGGATGATCTCTATCTTCGCCCTCGGGTAAATATGCTCTCCAGTACCAATCTCTGTCTTGAACAGTCATAAAGTACTTCCCATCCAATTTGTTCTCAGATTCAGTTCTCTGTTCCCCACCAAACATTGGATGAAGTAGGATATTACCCGAGACATCCGCGCCCTCGGCTGCTGCTCGAACTGCTACGTGGTGAGCGATATTACCGCCCGAGCTATCGCCTGCCAAATATATGCGAACTTTCGAGTCCTTCCCACTCCTTAACCACGACCTCGATTGAACCCACTTAAGAGCAGACCATCCGTCATCATATGCACACGGGTACCGATGTTCAGGGGATCGACGATAGTTCACGGATACTACAGCAGCATTGCAAATGGCAACAAGCCTACGACAAAAAGTATCGTATATGGCACTGTTGGCTGAGGAATGAGTAAAGCTTCCCCCGTGGAAGTATATAATCACAGGAACAATTTCACTAGTACTTAGGGGCTTTTCGAGATCTATGATCCCCCATTGAGATTCGTCTTCTGGGGCAGGCAAGTAAATCCGGTTAAGGAGGCTCGTGGCTCGATCCACAACGTCGAAAGAGTATACCCCATCCACCGGAATCGCATTGGCGGGGGATTTCCGTTCAAGATACTCGGCCAAATCCCTGTTAAAGGTTCCATCTGGACGACGAAGCATGTTATAGGCAAGCTTGAAATTGGATATGAGGATCCAGGTATTAAGTGGAACCAATCTCTGCAAATAGACAAGAAATTTTCAAGTGTTAATCCATCTGTTACAGTAGAAAATGAGCTAAAAACGAGAATTAAAAAGCAGATTGATCACGTAAACACACGCATCTCGCATCAATATCAAGAATCCATTAAAGGAAAATTCTGGAAAAAAAAAACAAAAAAATCATGCGTACACAATAAAGGAAAAGAAAGTAAATGATAAAGATAGAGAAACAACCGAAAAAATTCCAAACGACAAGCATAAAATCAGCTTATGAAAAGTCAGCTAAATCAGTACCAAGTAAGTTAAATAAAGAGGTAGGAAAAAATAAGCAAAAATAAAAATAAAAAGAAACAAAAACTCAAATCCTCACGACTAAAACAGATGATTAAACTCTGGTAAAAATCAAAGCTTTTTTGAAAAACAGCCTGAAACCCATGATTGATTATGAAAAGGATAGAGAACATAAAGCAATTTTCTACGACTAAAACATAAAAAATAAATAAATAAGACCTAAATAGTAGCCCAGCAAAAAAGAAAAATAATTCTGAGCAAGCAAAAAACAAAAAAGAAAAAAGAAAAAAAAAAGAAAGAAAACCAGAAAAACAGAAGAACAAAAGAATATGCAAAATTACCTTTGATTCGCTAGCGTTTACTTCATTACCACCAGCCATGAGAGGTCGTTAAAGAATCGATTTCCTTATGCTTTACAGGGTGAGTCTGATCTTGAAAAGATGAATCTTTGAGTATTATTCATAACGTACCATACCCTTCATACCTCTGCTAACTGCAATAGCATATAACTTGATTGACCCTTCTTTTATATTTCTTTGTTCGTTTCTATGAAGAAAATAAAGAAAGACAGTTTTAACGATATACAGTGATATATATAGAAAGAAGAAGAGATGGAGAAGAGTGTGAGAGCCGTACAGAATATAGATATAGAGAGAGAAAGAGAGAGAGTTTTAGAGAGAGAAAATGAGAGAGTGCAAGGAGGGAGACGAGAGAGAGGACAAACGGGGCGGCCAAAATAAACTGTTTAGGTAGGTCCCACAGGTTGCACTCGTTATTCTGTTCTGTTGACGATGTATATTTGTATATCAATAAAAGAAATTTAGATTAGATTATTGAATAAGAAAATTATATTTTAATTGAATTTGCTGTTTACATAATGTCACAAGAAACAAGTTTTTACTCAATTCTTTAGCCATATTTGTCTATTGATATTGCCATAACCCCAATGTGCAAAACAATTGGCTTTAGGGCTCCATTTCAAAGTAAAATGTCATTTCTAATTTTTTTTTTTTTAAGTCTAATGACAATTGGGTAACATTTTGGAAAAATTCAGTGAAAAACTATTAAAAGTTCAAGAATTAAGAAACACCTAAAAATTAATGACAATTGAGATATTTAAGGGGCATGTTTAATTAGGAATTTTAAAATTTTAATAATTTTTTTTTAAGTAATAGACTTTTTATGAAAATTGTGGACTTTTAATATATTTATATGGAATTAATAGAAGTCTTTCGTAAATTTTTATAAACTTTCATTTTAATTTTTTTTTATAGATTATTAAAAGGAAAAATATATATTAAAAAATTCTTTACGAGTTCTCGAATATCGGGGTGAATAAAAGATAAATTTTGAAATTTTATTTTTGTACTTCTTTCTTAAAAGTTAGTATCATACAGACATTTATTGACAAAGGATTTAATTGAATATATTGTGACTTTTAAAGATTTTTTAAAAGATCATAAAAGCTTCTATTAAATACCATAATACTTTTAGAGAGTTTTAAAAAAACTACATTGAATATTCGTAAGCTTTTAAAACTCTTAAAATTTTTTAAAAAATTCATGTGTATACTCCCCCATTAATCTAGATGATTGTGATACAATCAAGTGACATGTGTACAACATTGGAACGTAATATATTAAATGGGAAAAAGATAATTTTAAATTAGATTAATTGAATTTGACCTGGCATAATATTATAAGAAACTAATTTTATTTTTTTAAAATTTTAAATGAATGGAGTTAAATAATTTGATTATATGTATTATTTATTCTTATATACAATTGAATTAAATAGAGTTTAATGAGTGATTAAATTGTTTTTGAGACTGACTCTCATAATATTGACATATATGCCACAATTTGAACTTAAAGTATACTTGAGAAATCTATAGCAATGCTAATTTAAATTTGAGGTAGTAAGTATGATATTCATAACTAAGGATCTGTTTGATTTGGCAGATTTTTCATGAAAAATGGAACATTTTGACATGTTTGATGGCAATAATTTTCTTGCCAATTTCTTTTCCTTCCCCACACCACCCCACCCCACATGTGCAATTTCCTTGGTTTTGTGGAATACCCATGGGAATTGGTTCTCTAGCCAATTTTTATTTTTACGAACACCAAAATATATAAAATTTCAATATTTTTCAGGTAGAAAATCATAATAATCAAACGCATTAATTGACGATTCTCAAGAAAACAAGTTTTAGGAAATTTAATTCCCTAAAAAAATTTTCTTTCTACTCAATTTTCATTCTTGTAATCAAACGGACCCTAAATGTAACAACTAACCAATTGTAAATAACTGTTGTTTAATATTGTGAACTCCAAGCGCGTCTTTTCCTCTCAAAATACATAGCAAGGACAAGACAATTAAAGATTTTTTATTTCTTTTTTGGGTTTATTTGGGATCACTTGTTCAATATTCGTTCCCATGCCATGCCTTGTCATTTGTATTTTCTTCTTTTATAGAAAAAATAAAAAAGACAAGTCATAGTATATTGTCTTCTGCGTATTGCTTAAAAGTCTTTCTACCTAATTTTGCAATGAAATGTATTTGCTTCAACCACTCTAAATTTGCGATAACGTGGGTTGGTTAACATTTTTGAATTATGAATTATACTTTTTTTTTTCAAGTAAATTAAAACAATAATCAATTGAAAGAAAGTAACTATCAAAAAACTCAAATAAAAAAAAATTGAACTTTGCTATATGTACACGGACATTTACACGCCCCTCACATGGGGGCGGGTCCCGTGTGCGGATCTCACCCCCATGTGAGGGGCGGGTAACCTGGCGTGTAAACGCTTGGATACAAATAGCATTTTTTTAAAAAATAAAATTGAAAAAAGAGTGTATAAGACTGAAATGAAATAGGTCACTCAAACATTACAACATTAATAATCATTTTTTATGCCTATTTAATTAAAAAAGTATAAATCAATGAAATAAGTAAGTATTGTGGTGAGGAAATATCATTATTAAGCTATTTTGTTAGAACTATTTTTCTCTTAGCACGATTGCAAACGGCATCAAGTCAAGACCAAGATGTAAGATATAAACGAAGCTCTTAGCTCGAAGGTTACACAAGATAGATATTTCTAATAGAAGCTAACTATATTCTACGACGACGTTTATTTCGATGCACGAGAAAATATAAATTCCACGTGTCGAGGGGAAATGTCATGCTGCAATGAAAATTCTTCCCCAACAATGATAAATAAATAAATAAATTTTGGAAGCAGCCAAAAGAGTTCTGTCTGTAGCCAATCTTGAGAAGTTCGTAAAAACTATTGAAAAAATAGAAGGAGACAATAATTTCTCCTGCGTGCGGCCGACGCCAACGCACGTGACGACAAAAGCCAAGTATAATGACCAGACTACCCTAAAAACATCCATAAAATCCCCATCGTGCCACTGAGGTCGACACGTGTTTTGTCGCGTAGTGTTAATCGCGTGACGGCATGATTTTTGTCAGAATTCCCGGCCGCGGGACCCATCTGTTCTTTTCAAGTTGGGCTTTTCACTTTGTCGTTCACCATATTCACGAAAATTTTAAGGCTATGTTTGATAGCCAATGGTTTTCTATGGAACTTGAAAAATCAAGTTTATTTTTTAATTTTTGTAGTGTTAGATAGAATTTATTTTTCATGGAAGACATTTTCCAACTTTGAGTGTTACCTAGACATTTTTCATGTAATTGTGGAATTTGAATTCTCACCAATTCATTTTCCCGATTATTATAGCGATTTATTTATTTTTTCGTTTTTTTTTTGGCAATAGAAACAAATCCTAAGAATTATCATAAAAAAATATTTTCATTTAATTGACAATTTTCATGTAAAACAAAACCAAACGAGTACCAAAAGATAGATGATTTTCATTTTATTTTTTTGCAATGAAAACAAATTTTATCCTCAATACCAATAAATTTTATCTTTTTAATTGACAATTTTCATATAAAATAAAACCAAATGAACACCAAAAAATACTTTTATTTTCACATTTTTCACATGAGAAATAATACCAATCAAACACAATAAATTAACAATTCCCAAGAAAATAATTTCTAGACAATTCAATTTCCTGAAATCCATTTTCTTTCCACTCAAATTTCATCTTTGCAGTTAAACTGACCCTAGTGTTACTAATTTCCAAACTACGCCCCCGTTTGATTTTCATTTTTTTAAGAATGAAAATAAAAAATATAGTCGATACGGGACTCACATAAAAGATAGAAAATCAAATATGATGGTTTGATATGATGGATAACGGTCATATTTTTCATTTGTGGCCAAAGAATGAAAATCAACCGGAGGCTAAGAAACAATGTTTGTTATTTTAAAAATAAGATATTGATTAAATTTTGTTTATTAAATAATTAATTAAATATCTATTTTATAAATAAAATATATTATGGTCAAAATTATATGATTATATATCACAACTTATTTTATCACATATTATCAAACTATTTAGTCACTAATTATTTTTCGATCAAAAATAAAAAATTTTATAAGTTACAATTTATTCCACAATCACCAATAAAAATTTTTATAGGTCACAACTTATTTCATTGTCACAAATCATAAATTTTATATGTTAGAACTTATTTTACGATCATAAATTATCAAATTAATTGGTCACAATTTATCAAATTCTAAGTTACAATCATCCATTCTTCTAGGTCACATATTTATATACCAATCATAAACTAACAAATTATTAGTTATAACATTCAAAATAATTGGTCACAAACACTCCTTTTTTCCTCCCTTCCCATCCCTGGCCCGCCTCGCCTGTTACACTAACAATAACAAATAAACACCCTAAAATATCGGCTATACCGACTAAGCAAGGGGGAAGAAGCAACCACCCCCAAAACCATAGCTAACGTCGCAGTCGTACGACGAGTACCACTTAGATCAGTGCGTCACCTAACACTACACTAACAAAGACCCATTCAACCTAAACATTACAACTATCAACAACACGCCACCGCATTGCCGTTGCTTCGTGCATGCAGCACCCCATTCAACGTTGTAGTGTATGCATATCGGTGTCGCTGCTTTATACACAACTGCAATGGGGTACAACTGCGCATGAACTGCAGCGAAAAGAAGCCCCTGCTATGCTTGTCGTGTGGTGCCAGGGAGCTATTATGCGACGTGAAGATCGCTAGAGGATGGACAAGTGAAGATATGACGAGAAGTGAAAGGATTGAGAGATATTTATGAAAATATATTAAGGTTTGTGGAGTGGAGGTGGTTTCAGGGTTTGAAATTA